GCGGAGCCGGGGGACCCCCTCTTCCCCAGCCGGCCCCTTCCTTGTCGCCAGCCCCTGCTTTCCCATCTGCAGGGGCTGAGCTGTAACGAGTAGGGGCTTCTCGGGACACCCCTCCAAGGCACCCGGCAATGGGCGCGCAGCGATCGCAGCCAGTTGCAGCCCTTCTCCGGGCCCAGCCATGTTTACACAGGGCGTCATTCCCATGCCAGCACGCACGGAGCAGTGGAACCCTCCCCTCGGCGCGGGGAGCAGCGCCGGGGCCCCGTGTCATTTCACGAGCGCCCGGGCAGGATTCGGAGCGTGGATCAGGGAGCAGCGCTGCCTCCACGCGGGTTTAGCTCCTCGGGAAAGGCTCATCCAGGCTCGGCGTCGTCCGCTGCCCGGGATGTGGAGTTACCTGCCGGGCAGAGGGGTTCAAGCCTGAGGGCTGGGGACAGTTTCATCCCACGGAGCAGGGAGGCTCCCGAAACGGCGGCCGTCCCGGCAGCCCCCGGCCGGCTCCTGGGCCTGGCCGGCCACAACGCGGCCAGGTGGTTTTTTATTGCGAGGCTCTGACTCAGCTCGCAAATATGCGCGTGTTGATGCCATTGCAGGAAACCGCTACCGGGAAGTGGTGAGAACCCTGCAACGAGCCTGAAATTTGGCTTCCCCGAAGAAAAGAGGGAGATCAAACAGCCGCGCGTTGGCCCCCACCTCTCTGACGCCGGGATTAGTCACCGGGGTGACTTTTAGGCAGGGCGAGTGGCGTGTGTGGTTACTCGAGACGCTCCTCGCCGGGCGCCCTGCAGCATTTTTCTGGGGCAGAACCGACCTCAGAAACATGTCTGAGTAAATCAGCAGCTGGGAAGAATGAGCTCAGCCCCTCGGCGCTGCCAGCGCCCTGCGGCCAGGCCGTGCCGCAGAGGCGCCGAGGGCCCGACGGCAACGAGGGGGCCGCAGCACCCCGCGGCACTTCAGGAGCTGCCATAATCCTCGTTTCCTTGGAGAAGCCCTTGGGTCCCTGGGAATCCCCCGCTCCGCTCGCTTCCCTTCCCGCGGGAAGGACTGGCTCCCTCTAGCAGCTGGAGCCAGGCAGGGAGGAGAGCAAGGGAACATTTTGTTGCTCTGTTTGACCCTCAGCTTCTTGCACAATTCAAGGCAAGTCCTGTCTGCCGAGGCTGACTCAGTTTCTCCACGTGTGGAGCATCTTTTGCTGCTTCCTGAGAGCCTGCAGCGTGGAGGTCACCACAGCGGGTGCAGGAGCAGGGCTGTGGGCACGCAAACCTCCCAAACAAACCTCCTCTCCTTCCATCTGCATCCCGACCCGTCACGGCCTGGGAAAGGCGCTCCATCCGAGCCCCTTCCCAAAGTCCTGCCTGCATCCTTCCTGCTGTGGTCGTTGAAAGAAATCCCAGTGAATCCCATTGCAACGTGCCCAATCCCACTTGTGCATTAAACATCCCATCCCAGGGCTAACGAGTAGCACCCATGCAGTGCCACCAATTCAGGCAACCCGGTGGCCACAGAAGGGGCCAAACAGGGCCTGGCAGATCCGCGGCGTCACGGGCTTCCTTGCGGACACTCAGATGCCACACGGATGCCAGCGAGTTGTCGGGTGACCCACCAGCATCAGGATGGGTGACAGGCCAGGACAGGGGATCCCCGCGGCACAGGGACACGGCCCCACATAGCGCGTGGAGGCCGGAGGCCAAACCGGGCTGCTCCGTCACCGCGTGGCACCTGCCGCAGGCGGGGTGC